GGTATTGTCAGAGAATTCAACAGCTATGACCCCTACATCCAATTTACCATTGAAAAAGAAGATGAGAACCTGTCTGTCCCCTTTCTAGACACAAGACTCATTCGCACCAACAACAACAGTTTATTGGTAGACTGGTACCAGAAACCTATAGCCTCAGGTCGGTTTCTCAATTTTAGGTCATACCATAAACTAGGGATTAAAATCAATTTGGTAAAACAGATGAAAACAAGGGTAATCAGCATCTCAGATAATACCTTCCACACCTCAAATTTACGTAAACTATCAAAACTGTTCATCAATAATGGTTATCCGAAGTGTCTGATTAACAAGATCATTTTTAGTTCACCTTCCAATATTTTGCCGAACTCTGGTGATGCAGGTAATAGTCGCACAACCCCCAATAACGGAACTGATGTAATTCCCAATAATAACATCAATCCTAACAGTACTAGCACCAACCCTGACTCCAGACCTGGTTTTGCTGTCCTGCCCTACATCAAGGAACTGACCCCTAAGCTTATCAGATTGTGCAGTCCTTTGAACTTTCGAATTGCTTGCAAATCCGTCCTCACTATAAACTGCATTTTTTCAAAAATGAAAGACAAAGTCCCGCTGCTTGGCTTAACCAACACAGTCTACTCCATCAATTGCAACAACTGCAACCAAATATACATAGGTCAGACCTCCAGATCTCTTAAAGGAAGGATTACATCACACAAAAGTGATGCTAGGCTTCATCCTGAAAGATGCGCTCTAGCATCTCATGTTAACACAACAGGGCATTCTATGAATTACACAAGTATCAAAGTTCTTGATAAAGAAAAACACCTTTCCAAACGTTTATTCCTAGAAATGTCCCACATTTTCATGAATAACAACTGTATCAACAAAAAGACAGATGTTAAACAACTGAGTGTCATTTACTCATATCTGCTAAACTGCGAAAAATTGGAGAACTTACATATCTCCCCAAATTTCAACTCTTCACAACCATAATTAGAATCTGTGTTTTGGCCGTTTCCACCAGTAAATTTCATTCCACTCAAAATATAATAATTCTCTCCTCACGATTTATTAATAATTGTTAATTTAAATTCCCATTAATAATAATATAGTTTATTCAACTGCCTCTGGTCGGTTTAACAAATTCCATCATAAAATTCTGTAAATCTCTTCATCTGAAGTGATTTGGCAACTTTTTTGGCACACGCCCACAATTCGTTCCATCTTTCAATACTGACATTGACATCCTTCGGCCTTCTGTCAAAGGGTTTCATGTCACTCATCAATTCATCATTCCATGACCACTAATTTGTGCAATCATCAGGTGGTTTTCACGATGTAATGTTCTAATTTTTAAAATAATTTTTAATCTGTTTTAACGTGTTCTTGTCATGTTTTGTATAAATTTTGACTATTGTGCAACCTATTCAGCTCTCACCATGTTACTGGACGTTTCCCTCATCATATGCGTAAACAACAATTAGCAACATTCTCACATACTACTGTAAGTTGAGTCAATTTAAATTCATTTTACACCTTTGTTGCTACTGTTATCATTGTAATTGCAGCTCCTGATGATGATGGCAAAGTCCATTGAAAGCTAGAGAGAATTAAAAAAGTATAAAGAGTCCTCTTTGCTTAAATCTTGTCGAAGTACCCAACAAAAAGCGGAAGCTTTAATTTTTCACCTAACTGGTCTAGACGACAATGACCACGTCTCAAGTTATATATATATATATATATATAATACGTGTGAAATTATACAATCAATTAATTATGAAATTTACCAAAAGAAAGTCATTGAAAAGGGTTTGGCCTAGGAATGGGCACTACCATTCATAAAGAGAAATAAAATTACTAGTAAGTGATCAATATAGTAAAAAAAAGGTGATGTGATTTTAGCACGTGACACTTTGGTTACCAGTATCTTGGAACTGAACGAGAAAACCAGATAAACCTACATGTTCAGCAATCTTGGTTTTCAAAGTACAAGTCAAGTACTATATATACCGTCAATATATACCTGCTGTCAATGATTTGTACTCTGAGAGAGTCCACCAAGATGGCCAAAACGGTAGCAAAAAGTCGAATTATGTGGTTTAAGTTAATGGCAGTAAAACATGAGGACTCATCAGCACTTAAACCGTAGAACAAGCTTCAGATATTACATTGGAAATGTTGATCATATCGATCTACATATACAGGGTGGTCCATACATGTGTGGACGGAATATTACTCATAAAAAAATACTCTTTGGGAAAATCTATTCATGGCATGTTATACATGACATTCGAGGTCACATTTCTAAAATATTGGCAATTATACAGAGTGTCCCAATTTTTACCTACATATCAAAGTTGTTATTTTTTAAATTGAATGCCTCAAATTTTATTAAATATTTGGATAAACAAATTAAAAAGAAGAAGACCGATGTATCATGTTATGAGGTTTTGATAATTAGCTACTGAGATGTAAGGTGTTTTGTCCAGAAAAACCATCCACTTCGGCAACCCCTCAATCCGCCATTTTGAAATCTGGATTGCTGAATTTTGTATCAAAAAAAACTTAGATACCCCAGCTTTTATCTTATTTATTACTTTTTTGAATTTACATTTTTGCTCATACAGGGTGGTCCAAAACGCGAATTGTACTTTTTCTCAAATATTTCAAATGCGTCACCCTGTGTATTTGAACAAGTTTAGATTTCATTTTTTATAAGCTTTATTTTTGGTATAAGGTTTGATTCAGATAAAATCAGTAGATTTTGAGTTATTAAGTTTTTAATACACTCCAAAATTAAGGAAAAAATCACATCATCCATGGAAACAAAAGACAAACATTGCCACTAAGAGTACAGATTTGACGTAAAAACTAATAACAATCAGAACAGTATACATCAGCTTCAAGCGTAATAGAGAAAAACAACTATAACAACAGCATACACAACTATCACTACCCAAAACCAAATCTACAAGAAATGCCCGAAAATATCTCCACCATGTTGAATACACAGCCGTAGTCCTTGGATAAATGACCGTTGCACATCCCTCAGCATGTGTTCCCTTATGTTCGGAAAAACATCCTTACTCCTTTCTTTCATATTCCGGGGTAGATGGTGGATACCTATAAACCTCTTGCTTAACGTAGCCCCATATAAAGAAGCCCATCGCTGTCATATCTGGTGATCTAGGAGATCAAGATATAGGCCCATCACGACCGATCCAACGATTGTTACTCCAGGTGTCCAAATAGTTACGCACATGATTATGATAATGCGCAGGTGCGCCGTCATGTTGGAAGTACATATGCATCCGAGTGTGCAGGTTGACATCCTCCAAAAGCAAAGGCGTTGCCGAAAAAGAAAGGGCCGATAACTTGTCTGCCAATAACTCCTCCCCAAACATTCAAGCTCCATATATTTTGGATATCTATTTGCCTAACGCAGTAAGGGTTTTCCGTCGCATAATAGTGCATGTTATGCCTGCTGACAGCACCTATGCTGTTAAAAGTTGCCTCATCGCTAAAGGAAAGTAGTGTCTTCACTCACTTTATTTAGCATTATTCTACTAAACTCCATTCGAGCTGCGAAATCCTGAGAACAAAGGCCTTGATGCAAGCTTAGGTGATATGGATGGTACCTATGCCTGTGAATAATCCTTTGAACAGAAGTTCTGCATATATCAGTTCCAATTTGCCGTGCACTGGAATGTGGATTTCATGCAACTTTAATAGAACCTCCAACTGATTCGCCTCATTGGTGACACTTGGATTATTTATACATTGTTCACTATATTCCACTGCTCCACTTGATTCAAAACGTTCTTGTAGTGTAGAAAATGTTTTCGGCCTTGGTTGTCGCATATTAGGGTACCGTTGCTTATATATACGAGATACTAGGAAACTGTTACTTTGGGCTTTGCCCTAAACCGCACACCATATTCACCATTTCTTCTTTAGAAAAATTCATTTTCAAACAAGTTTTTATTATAATGCTCACAAAGCTAATCTTGACAGCTTGTAACTAATCAACAATTTATTTGTTTCCAAGGATGATGCGATATTTTAGGGAATTCAGCCGTCCCATAAAAGACGTGCTAGTAACCGAAAAAATAGCGGTAAAAACGCTTACGTATTTAAGCTTATCAAAAATTAAATCCAAATATACAGGTGATGCATTTGAAATTTTTGAGAAAAACTACAATTTGAGTTTTTGACCACCCTGTATGAGCAAAAATTAAAATTCGAAAAATTAACAAAGAAGATAAAAGCTGAGGTGTGTAAGTTTTTTTTGATACAAAATTCAGCACCCCAAATTTCAAAATAGCGGACTGAGGGATTGCCGATGTGGGGGGTTGTTCTAGACAAAACACCTTATATCTCACTAGCTGATTCCCAAAACCCCATAGTATGTTATATCAATTTTCTTCTTTTGAATTGGTTTATCCAAATATGCATTCCATTTAAAAAATCACAACTTTGATATGTAAGTCGAAATTGGGACACCATGTATAATGTCCAATATTTTAGAAATGTGCCCTCAAATAACGCGTATATCATCCCATAAATAGATTTTCCCAAAATGTATTTGTTTATGAGTAGTATTCCGTCCACACATGGATGGGCTACCCTGTATAGAAGATAAGTAACATAAGTATTAAGTACATCATCAAATCGAATATAAAACTAGTGATTATTCCAATTTTTTGCCTTTCTGTGGATGTTCCAGAAGCACCTTTCTTTTCAATTATCTGCACTGATCAATATCCTACAGAAACGTTGTTACGTAGTGCGATAATTAATTGCGAGATGGAAAAGTCTCGCCAAAATTCGTTATGGATCAATCACCGTTTGCCCTTTAAGGATGATTTCACGGTGATACAATTTCAGGAAAGTTTAAGTATTTTCTTTAATGCCAAGAATTTCGGATGATACTGGTTTGTTTCTAGATATAATGTAGTTTTTTACAGAGAAGGAACTTAATTCAGCTTTTGTTCCAGATACCACCAGACGACGACAATGTGCTGAACCAAAGCAACAGTTTCATCGGCCTGTTCATATTACTGGGCAGGACGTTCACTTACATCTTGAACCACGGTTTCCAAATAGCAATAAATGTGTTTATAATTGTCTTCATAGAAGCCAGTCCAATGTTGCTGATGGAAACGTTCAACTTAGGACACGAACTTATAAACTGCATCACCGACATATTTAATTTTGCTGTCACTTTGGACGAGAGCGAGATCGAATTCTATGAGTATCTGTGACACTTCTACCTTTGACATAATATAAAACTAATAAACCATTTTGTTGACAGTTTTTTAGAGTCACTTGTTAACGTATGAAAACTCTGTAGGCTAGACATATACCTAAACATTCTGGTGTAACAAGCGCATCCAAATTTCGCTCCAAAGCTTTTCATATACGACAGGTCTGGTATAATGACGCAAACGCAGATTTACTGTCATTTTTCCTAAACCACAGAAATCGCATTTTGATAGTATACTGATTAAGATGTGACGTTTATAGCATCATTGTCTAGCATAGGGCAAGGGTGGCCAACCTGATTAGATAAGACGGCGAAACCCTGTGAGGTCTACCAACTACACACCTCTTGAAATTATTGTAATTATTCATGCAGTACTTTTTATAAAGGAAAGCATACAATTGAATTATCAATAGCTACTTACTAACTACTTTTATATTTTTCATTTATTTATAATTTTAGTGGGAGCAATGCGCCCTCTAGTTTGTGAAATAATTATTATAAAGACTTTTACCGATGCCAGCTGTTTCGGAGGTATTTAAAACATCGGCAAAGTAGGTACCTCAATTTTTATGGGAAAACTTTTTATTCAACAAGATATGAATGTAATATAAAATATAGAAAAAACTTGCATGGACTAAAAAAATCCCCAAATAAGGTTTTTAGCTAATACAAAATAGTGTTGCCCATAAAAAGGTTCAAGATCCAAAAAGTTATGACCAAGAATCTTGACAAAATGCAGGTTTTGGCAATTGTTGGTAATGTCACTCGACCGTAGCATGACGCAGGTTCTTGAAATTCCTCAGATCTGTAGGTCTCTTCTAACTACACAAAAATTGGAAATTTCTAATTGTTTATCACAAAATACCTGTTTTCAACCAACGTCACCACATTATGAAATAATATACTAGGTTCATTCAAAAGGCACTTTATAGCAATCTACTCAAGTTAACCTCACAAGTACGAATCAAAAACCCTTTAGCACAATGAACGTTGTTTTTATGCAGAAAACAAGTGGCTAGGTTTTTCTTTTAAATAAATTCAAACATTCGTTATTTATGAGGAATCGAAAAATTTATTACAGTAATCGCAAAATATACATCATTATACACATTTTAACAAAGCGGAGGTGTCTATGACTTTTTTGCACATCAAATTCTTTTCATCAAATTCTCTTCTTTACACATATTTGGAGATGAAATTTTACACTGCTAATGCTTATTGGGTAAATTATTTCATACTGAGATACATAGAATTGGTTAAGAAGTGTGAACGGACAAACCGATACTCTAAGAAATATAGAAAAATGTCTGGGGGAAATTGTAAGTGGGCAAATTTGGTGGATACATGTGAGAAGGGTTGCTCTACGAGAATATGGGTCGTGCCAAGTAAAAAAAAAATGTCCGCTTCAATTTTTCGTTTGCAAAAAATATGGCTAAGAATTTTCTTATTTTTTTATCATGTTATTTTATCACTAAGTAAAATTAACTTTGACCTTTTTTTGCCCTAAGGCACCCACGGAATTGATTATTGAACAACAAAATCGGGCAAAGAATTTTGAATTTATTCAGTAAAACCACTATTTACCTTCACCTCACTTTTATTCGTATGAGTCTGACCTCTAACCATCTGTCACGTTATAAAAGCACAAAAAAGTCGAAATATTTTAGATTTTTGTTTTTATTGTAGTTTCAGGATATAAATTTTAATGAAAAGATGGTTGCAGTATGAGTTTACCGTTAGTAAAGCAAATCATCACCTTTGTTACTAAAGTACATATATGTATAAATAACAGTTTGTACTCAAATGCAACTTTCAAAGATATCTTAACATCACACAGTAACCTTGCTCCAGAAACAAAAAAGTCACTGTCTACCAAACTCATCATTTATTAGCATGTTGACCATGCTCCAGTCTTCTTTTTTTTTCCTCGCATGATGATATGCATATCTTCTGTATCACCATATCCACAACAGTGATTGTTTGATGACTTTGGAATGAGTGAAACATCAATTATAATATCTTTGCACGTCCTTACTGGACTGCGTTTGTAAATTGTTGCAGAGTGTACTTTGTGCTGCTCTGTAACAATTTTAGAGTTCGTAATTGTTTGACGTACCTATACATGTGTTCGAAAATAGAACAAAGTAATCTTTCTGAAACATCAAAAGTGTGCTTTTCTTCCCGAGCTCAAAACGTTGGGAACAGGTAGGGAACTTGTCTTTCTCATGGTTCATTGTTTGTTTATTTTATTTAGTTATCAAAAACTTCTCAAAATTGACAGAATATATATTATTCATGATGAATGCAACCTAGTATCCTTAAGGCTGCTACACACAGTGCCGGCGGCGGGGCCTTGCCGCGCAAAGGAGCCGCCGGCGGGTTACGCGGCTTGCCGGCGTCACTTCGTTCCTGGCATTGTGCGGTTTGTGTGTTTAAACAAATTAAAATGTCGTTTAATTGGGTCGACGAAGCTGTGTCCTGATCTTAATTGAAAAATTTCATGAAAATGATATATTATGGAATCCCAGAACGCAGACTACTACAAACGAATGGACGCATTGAACATAATTGCAAGTGTATTTGACATTGATAAAGGCGAAGTAGAGAGAAACTTAAAAAATTTAACCTCTCATTATTTTCGGGAAAAAAACAAGTTAGAACAGTTACACAAATCTGGTGCAGGCATAGACGATGTACAGGAACCAAAGTGGTTTGCTTACAAAGCATTGAACTTTTTGCGAGACAAAAATAAACCACTACCCACAGTAAATAGTGAGAATGATGTAAGTATTCATATTTCCAATATTTCTTGTTTATTTTATCAGTTGTAAATCAATATAAATTGGTTCAGTAGATCCGATCCTTTGTTCACAGTAGTTCCTTTGTTAGTTCCTTTGAAGGAACTAATGTTACTTTTTTGTATCAGTTGTTCCTTCAATAGATCTAAAGGAACTATAGAGACTGCTTACCAATATAATACTAGTATAAATATTAAATAACTCCCATGATAGAAAATCATATTATTTCCGTCTATTTATAGATGGATTCGCAAAAAAGTCAGCAAGACAATGTCACAGCGACTAGTTCCCGGAAAAGGAGATGCGGTACTGATGGAGACAGTGATATTGCCGAAGCTCTGCAAGTTTTAAAAAATATGTCAGCTTCGTAATCTGCTCGCGACGATGCCTCGGTATTCGGAGAATACATAGCAAGTAAAATACTAAAAATGGATCCTATGACAATATCTATAGTACACTATCATATTCAAAATATAAATTACCAGGCTGAAATGGGCGTTTACTCAAGACCTTCCAGGGTGGAGGCAGCTCAAGGATATTTTACCACTTCGACAGCTGAAAGTGTACAGCCTTTTTTCATATTTGGAAAATAATTAAAACTCTTTTAGATTTATGATGCTACATTAAGGATTTAATAATTAAAACTATTATTGCAAATTGTCATTGATAGTGAGATTAGTGGGGCTACACAGATTAACAAAATGTTACCTGGTCAAAGTTATACTTAAAATCTCATTATATAGATTCATACGCTAAATAAATATTGTTACCTAAAAAAATATGTTTGATTTATGAAATGTAAGTTTGCCATGGAAGTTGTCCTTGCTCTGAAAGAAAATAGTTCATCAACTCATTTCTGACCATTGAAGGTTCCAAATTTCAATTTATTGCAATATTTGGTGCCGGTATCGTTATCATATTATCCTCAACATCAACGTCATTTCTTCGGATAAAATTGTGCAGGCATACACAAGCCATTACTACAATTTTCATTTTCTCTGGCTGTAAATTAGCCATTGAATGAAATATTCTGAATCTTTTCGATAATATGCCAAAACCATTTTCCACGACAATGTTTGCGACGTTAGATGGTGGTATAGGAAACCAGCTAACGGATAAAAACTACAGAATGTTTTTGCTGATCGTCAACACCATACTGAATCGCTGAGAAAGAAAGATATAATACGAGTGAAATTACACAATCAATAAACTATTAAATTTGCAAAAAAAAAATCATTGAAAGGGGGTTGGCCTAGGAATGGGCACTCTATTATCAATCACGAGAAATTCAAATTACGGATAAATAGTAAAAAAAAGGTTACGTGATTTTGGCACGTGACAATGTATGGGACATGATGGGAAGAAGGTTGCACCCTCCACAAACATTGGAGGCCCTACAAAACCAAATTCAAATCACCTGGGATGCAATACACCAGGAAGACATCATAGGAGCTTTAATACATTATTATAATTAAGGTGGGATATCTCAACTATTTTGCGAAATTTCGAGTTAAAATTTTAATCACATTTTTTATCAGTAAACCTAAAACTTGTAAAAGTAATGCTCAAAATTACAGCACTACTAGTCATTATTGCATTCAGTATATTTTGTTAACCGTAATCTCATACTACGAGTATAAGCATCTTTTTATGAAAATCTATATATTGTATACGCCTGAGCATACCGTACAGTTTGATATTTATAATCAATCGTTGGAGACATTTGAATACCTTAAATCAGCTCCTCGTTCCCAACTCCACCTGGAGAGTTCATTCTTTTTTCAGGTAAGCGAAGGAATGGCTCCATCTAATGGCAATAATCATTGTAGTGGGCGCGAGGGAACAACATCGAAGACAAAATTTGTTTTTAGAACATCTGCGGGATTAACAGCAACATTGATGCTGTTCATCACTACCTGCAATCCGCACGGGTATCATTTAAAGATCTACAAAACGTCAAAAAAAACCTATAAGATGTCAACTTGCAAACTAGGTAGTTTTTAGGGAGCCAACAGTCATTCCACGTTTGCTCACTAGGATCGTTGTGAACGTCCATCTGTGGAGGAATCACTCAACTAAACTACGCATTATTGGTTGCATATAGCTTTGTGAGGCTGAGTGATCCGGGTCTGTAGTTTTTATCTCTGAGAAGAAAGTTGGTTGAATAGCAAGATCGCATCTGGATGATTATGTGTATTGGTCTGCATGTGTATAAAATCAGTGTTATTTGCTGTGTGAAAAAATCATTACTGAATATGCCGAATATGACGGGTTATTTATATGTTGTGCTTTCTGAAGAGAGGTTATGTTCAAAGTTATAAATTACGAAAAACTGAGGAGAATTACGGGAAGTCATCACCGCGCCCGCGTTGTGTGTAATTACTGTTAGCATGTATATGACTTGTAAATCGACAGTGTACAGTGAATATAATTATCTTATCTCTCTCATTTTTGAAATTCAGCAAATTTGTATATGTGATTTCCAGAATGGATAAGAAAAAGTGGATGCGAAACTAATTTCTAGCTTTGAATCTCAATTAAGTGTATTTGAGACAAGAACCCAATGTAATTATCATCACCACATATAACTTACAGCTTGGACCTCCAGTAATTTTTTTTTTATATCGAAACAGCCGCGCAGGCAGAAGCCTAAATGCCGGAACACCGCGGTTGCTATGATGATCCCAAAGAAATCTAAAAGCAGCAAATGAAGTTGGGTGATGTTTTAGAGTTGAGTCGGAGCCACAGAATGTCCTTCCGGTCTGATTCCAAAGAAGCATCTTTGGAGCAGGAAAGACAAAAGCCACAACTCCTCCGTTGTTTCTCAGATTGGAGTGCTCCTCGTAGTTTGGGAAGTTGAGACGGTTAATCGGTGCAGACTCTGGGATTTTTGTCTCCGCGAAGAAAAGCACGGCGGGACGATCGGCACGGGTATCACGTATCTTGAAATTATGCTGATTTTTTTTGACATTATTTAGGTTATCTACAAGATGTTAACTTAGCACTTAGTTGTACGTGTTGCCTAAACGTCGTGAGGCTTGTTCTCAATCTTTGGCTTTGATGTGATGTAAAATCTGCTTCTAAGATGGCATTACCGCCCCGACTACATTGTCCATGCTCGATGCTGTCCAGAGGAGGGCGGTCCGACTGATCGATGACACTTCTCTAACAGACAGTCTCGGGACTCTTTCCCACCGGCGGGTCGTCGGTGATCTAGCTCTTTTCTATCGCTACACCAACGGGCTTTGCTCCTCAGAGCTCTCTTCCATGATGCCGCCGCGCGATGTGCCTGCCAGACAGACCCGCCTGACTTCGGCGTCCCATCCTAACCGTGTCGAACTTCGTACATCCAGAACTGGCCGATACGACCGCTCCTTTGTCTCCTGGGTGTCAAGATTGTGGAACAATCTACAAGAGGAAGCTTTTCCCAGTTCTGCTAACCTTAGGCAGTTCAAAAATCGTATTAACAAAATTTCTTTTGGATCAATATAGCAGCCGCGGTGTTCCAGCATTTAGGCTTCTGCCTGCGCGGCTACTTCGAAATAAAAAAAAGGCTTAGGTGTAAATCCGAGTTCTACCTAAGAGCCGTTCGTCTCGTCAATAGCGGCAGCTGCTGGGAAAAAGATAGGCTATTTGTTTAGACCTGATAATTACTTCTCTCCACATAACCTCCTCGCTCTGTACAATGTGCAGTTGAGACCTAGCTTCGAGTACTACTCACATGTTTGGGGTGCTGACGCCCAGACTTCATTATCCATGCTAGATGCTGTTCAGAGGAAAGTTGTCTGACTGATCTAATGGACAGTCGCGGGACCCTTCCACACCGACGGGCCGTCCAACATCTAGCTCTCTTCTACCGCAATGCAAACGGGCTTTGCTCCTCAAAGCACCTTCTCCATGATGCCGCTCCGTGATGTGCCTGCCAGTCAGATTCGCCTGATCTCGTACATCCGGAACTGGCCGATACGACCGCTACTTTGTCCCTAAGGTATCGATAACCAGAGTAGGTTTTCGCAGTTCTATTAACCTTAAGCAGTTCAAAATCGGATTAGCAATGTTTATTCAAGGTACCCATAACAGCCGCGGTGCACTGGTATATAGGCTTCTGCCTGCGAGGCAGCTTCGGCATAAAAAGCCTTATACAATTTTTTCCTTGCCGCGATCGACTCAACTAATAGCCGCGAAAGACCTGACGATCACGATAGACCGGTTGGCCAGTGCTGTCATAGGGCATAGGTAGGCGTTATATGAGTATCACCGCGATTGGTTCTTACAAATCTCCGCAGGTATTACATTTTTGGCAGTATAAAAAAACATATCTTTTTACATGCTATTCTTTTACAAATGACCCTTCATTCTTCTCTTACGGAACCATCTGTATTGAAACGAAAAAGTAACGGCTAATCCATTAGCAACTAATCAGCCAGTACTTGTAGGTTTCATGTCCAAACACGAATATATATCTTACGATATAGCAGACTGTAAGGCCATTCCGAGCTGTCGTGAATGTCGCTGCGTCTCGAATGCTGCATTGTAAAAGCATTCCTGAGATCGGTATACAATTTGAATAAATGCTAATCCGTCCTTAATTAATATTAGGCGCTATCTATAATGATCCAATTAAATTTTTCAAAATAGGAAGAAACATCTCGACCAAGGCATACAGCGCCGAAATCTTTGAGATAACTCGCCGGCATCACGCACAGATACGGCCGGACAGAGACAGAGTGTCACTGGATCACAGATAGAAGGTATAATTAATAAACGATCAATTTCATATTTTGATACAGTCGTTTTGGTGAAAAGCTAGTAAAAAGCACCACACTGCTCTCACAAGTATGAATAGAGAGTTAAAAGAGTCAACATATTTCTACGTATTCTATCAAAAGATAGTCAGGTATATACTGTATGACGGCGCTCAAAATGGATCTGGAAGATCCTGGCGCCACATATGAAACAGTAGCAGTACACAAAAAGGAATCTAACAATCTGTTTTGAAAAGAAAGTGTTTTGTTTTTCTACTGTCCCTCAGGTAACGCTGGAATCCTCAACCTTTTTGGGGCATCTCGAACGCCTATTGGATACCCATCTAAAATGCGCCTACGAGACAGTAGCAGAACTAAACACTCTGTTTCCAAAGTAGAACAAATTTATTTTTGTGTTTTCTGCTGTCTTATAGATTGCGCTAGTATCCTTGAGATCTCTTTTAGATATAGAAGACAATAATCATTCACAGCCATTGACAGGTCATCCTTTTAATGATGCTGGGCAACATATATCGGTTCAGAATGGAAACAGTGTTTCAATGTAAGCCAGAGAGACGCTATTGCCTTCTCTCATTTTC